GGTTTGTGAACGTGGACTGTTCCAGCAACCGTTTTGACGAACTGCAGTAGCTCCCAGCACTCCGAAAACTCGTATGAGAGGATAATATTAAAACCAATCTTGACGGAAATAGGATTTGTGTGTGTGGACTGGTTTCATCTGGCTCAGGACAGCGGTCTCCTGTGAACCTTCGAACTCCATATACGCCGAGGATTATTTTGACTATCAGAACGGACTTCTAGTGCCCGAAGGCATAAGACAACAGATACAAAGAAGACCAATGGTGACTTTAATGCTAGAGAAAGGCTGTAGTTAAGCTGCGAGTCCCTTTGAATTATTCGCCTGTTAATATGCAACCAGCACCAATTAATTCCGTTTGTATTCGGGGGTTCGCAGCGTCGCAGAGTTTTGCGAAATGCAGGACTTGGATCACGCAACTTGCTTTCGCTCCATAAAGTTTGGTTCTCCCCCTGCAAAACCACCTGCCATTCCAACAACCCCCACCCCCACCCCCGGGCCGTCGTGGCGACCGACCAAGATATTGATTGCCGACGCAGTCCCTTCCCCTTATCAACCCCTAACTCCAATGTGAGAGAAGAGGGGGTGCATGATTGTGAGAGGGGGGTAAAATAATAGGAGACCGGCATGAGGGGAAGGGATTTCGAAGGGGCAGGCTGCGATGAATGATGAATACCATACACTGCATTCCCTTCGCCCCCCCTCGCCCCCAACAGCCAACAAAAGAAGAGACCCGAAGCACGCAACAGAAAAGAGAATTACAAAAGAGAGAGAGAAACAAAATTGGAAAAGAGGGGAAATAGAATGAAAGAGAAAGGGCATAAGAAACATCGTTCATTACGAGCGGCATCGCGGGGGCGGGGGCGGGGGTGGACACAAAACAAACAAATGTTTGATCACTTTGCATTACAACGAATACATTAAGCGTGGCGCTGTAAAAAGGGCAAATGTTTAAATAATAAGTGGGCGTACTTCAACAGCATCAATCATCGGTCCATTTACTTCTGAAGGCTTGTTTGCGTAAAATAAATGATAATGTGTATCGGTGTTTTGGGCCGATCACTTTTTTTTTATTTTATTTGGGTTACCATCTGAGATGCACACATTTTACACGCACACAAAATTCGCAAGTTCCTCCACATACGTCCTCGAGAAAATCGTAGCTGTCAAGAAATTCCTTCCCTTTATAGAACGCTAAGGTTCACAAGAGCTCGCCACTGGACCACATTCACATCCAGACGAATTCTTGAGGTGAGCTGATTTCTGACACAAGAAGTTCTACCAAACGTCGAATCGAAAGGCCCAAGGACCTTAAAAAGTATTTTCCAGAAAGGCCACAGTCGACAAAACAGCTGCTGGAGTTGATGTTGATAGTAACTGAACTTTCTACTTTCCGCCACCAAATTCAACAACGCAACTTCCTTGGTTACAATTCTTAAGTTTTTAATCCAAAACAAAAAACCCGCGCAAATTGTTTTACAACTGTCAAAAATGGCCGAGACGAAGCTCAGGCGGTTGGTCGCCGACTTTTCAACGGGTGAGGCACGGGTTTGAGCCCGGGCCAGTCCATGTGGAGAACCCTACACCAAGGGTTATTACAATGGACCTTACGAAAACAGACCGAGAATGTGTAAATTGGATTAATCTGGATCAGGATATGACATGTAATGAACCTTCGGGTTCCATCAAACGCGGGGACCGTCTTGACTACCTGACCCTCAGTCCATGGAATTTGAAAGATAATTGAGGACCCCGGGTGTCGTTATGGCACTTAACATCGAAGTAAATTAAAAAGTAGTCAGACCGACCGACCTGAGATTGTTTTTCACAGACGTTTATTTAAACCGCGTACTAAGAAAGGCAAAATGTGTTCAGATTATCCGGACTCCGTGGACACTGATACTCGGTAATACGATCGTGGCCGATTATTCGTATTTCACAGAAACCCTGAGCCGTTTAATACATGATCGTATGGCACTCCAATTAGCCTGCTGAGGACGAGAGTGCAGAGACTGTAACGTAATACCGTAGAACTGTTTCCAATTGCGCACTTGTTCACAGGCTGTATCCATAGTAACAAGTCCCATTTCTGCGAAACAGAAGTGATTAATGCCCTCTGTTGTTGGTCTGCTTTGCTTTTTCCAATGAGCGGGGCTTAAGGAAGGGTAGAAATATAATTAAACGCTTTTGCATACAGCCGATGATATGTTTTCCACACACGAGCTTCAAGTTTGTATGCAAACGATGATAATACAAACTGACTGATCCATTTCCTGATGAACAAAAAAAAAAGTATTTTTTGGCATTACGTGTTGACTTCACAGACTGCACATTTGGTAAACACTGCCCTCAGAGACGCAAGATTGTTCGGACAAAACGACACCCCCTCCCCCCACTTGCGGCAGTGCACAGTTCATAACATGAGGTCAAATCTTCCCGCGTGTCAATCATTATTCTGCTGTGATTTCCTAAAACCTGAGCTTTACCACCAGGTCATCAACCTCCTTCTACCCATAGATGGAGGCGATATGTTCCTCCGAAACGTCGACGGCCATCTGCAAGACTACGCGGATTCAAAATTAGCAGAAACCAAAATCGAAATCAGTGACCCTCCTGAAGAAGTGATACGCCATTAAAAGAGTCGTAACACACAGCCAGATGAGTTTTGCTGGGTCGCTCAATCATTTCGACTTCACTTTGTGCACAGGCGGAAGCCGAGTGGGCCAGTAGCCAGCAGCTCGAGAGATGATCTAACATCTACAAGATACGAGCAACCACTTTTAGTGCTGCATATAAACACTGTCACACCCACAACTTTCATCCCGCTTATTTTGTTAGCGAGTTAGAATGCAGGGGTGTCAAACAGACGCGGATATCTTTTCGGTCCCCGTCTGCATTTTGGCTTTTAAGCACAACAGAAAGGGATCCCTTGGAAAAGGCTACGCTAACTGAGAACAATATTAAAATTGACACTCGGAGATTGTCCCCCCCACCCGACTTCATATAAAATGTCCTCTGCTGGCGACCCATCGGATCATTTTATCTATGGGAGAAGACATCCTCCGAAACGTCGCACATATTTTTATCCATACGAAGTAAAATGTCTGACGAAGACGAGCGAATGACAATTTTAAATTATTGTCGGAAAGCTTCAGAACTGTTGTGTTCTGCGCGCCACAGAAAGGATGGGTTCGCAACCCCTAGCCTAGTCAATGACGAGAAGCAGGTAGGATGAAATGTTTGGACAGCAAACCAAAGTTTATTTTAAGCCGAGAAGACGTTCGCCAGCTTTGTTCCTTTTCGTTACGCATTATTTTTGGTATGTGACATGTTACAGACTCGAGATACGCGAAGGGGAGGGGGGCAGAGGACCTGAAAGAAACACTCATAACAGAGGAACACGTTTATGAAGCTCTGTGTACAAAATAATAGCTAGACGAATTCAAATCATCGCAGAGGAACATCTTTTTATCAGACGTTTAAATATCGATAGTATTTTTACTATTCGACAAACCAACTACATTTTACTACAGACAAATAAATGGAATATGGCAAATACTACATTCCAGTAAAATATTAAGTCAAATCTGTCGAATATTTTTAGGGGTTTCTGGAGGTGGGGGTGGAAGAAACTCAGAGCCCCAAGGTCCAATCCCCTACGAACACTGGCAGATGGGGAATCCTTGGGTCACGTGTTGAAACGTGCAGGGATGCCAACACATTTTTTATTCGTCCACTAAATTCTCTTTCTGATTGTGCGGGAAAGGCATCTCTGCTGATGACACTGGGTCTACGAAGACGCTACCACTGACATGGAATAAATGAGCTTCAAGGGATTTTCTAATTTTCTCTTGTACAGCTTCACAGACTCTGTCTACCTTTGAGATTATTAATTTACAACATACGATAGCAAAGCAACGCGAAACGTATAAAGTGTGCCTGGGAGCTGACTACAACATATAGGTCAGACACCAGGTCTCTCTCTCTCTCTCTCTCTGGCTGAGCTGCACTGGAGCGCGGTTACAAATTCACGCTCCAAAGGTCTGCAGAAAACGTTCCTCCCCTAACCTGTCAGTTACACTGTTTACTAAACTTTACATATCCCTTTTACGAGATGCAATATTTCCAAGTTTCATTCTGCTCGTAGGCAGAGTCTTGAAATAGGCCAGTTCGATATATCCCACATTTCAAGCCGAAATTTAAATTAAAACTAGACCATTCACGCACGCCCAAGGAATTAGGAAATGCCAAAGTCCAATCTGATTGGTCGGCGAAACTCGGCCGTCACAGCATGCGAGTATCACTCGTCAGCGTAGCAAAAGGAAGGGCGAGGATACAAATGTATTAATAAATGGAGACGAAGCAGGCTGCAGGTCTTCGGTAATTTTATTCTTCAGCTGTTTAAAACTGGTTAATTTTTGGCTGAAAACCTGCACGTAAGTGACCACAAAGAATGGTAACTCAGTCGTGCTTATAATATATCAGTCCACAGACTTTTCTACTATCAGATGTTCCACGAGTATCGGAACAAGTTAGGAAACATACAGATGGCGTATTCTCTCTATTAAGAGACGGGGAGTACGACAAAGGACTTACAGTTTAAAATCTTCAACAAAATCAATCCAAAAATTTCCGCGACTTACGAGACAACAGCACCCAATTCGTCTCTAAGTACTCAGTCACCTTGAAAACCTTTACAGATTCATTTCCCTTTACAGCTATTTGTTTCGCGAGTTTCGCTACAAATGTGCGCAAAAATTAATGAGATTCCTCGTGTGTGTTGTCCGATTTTAAGCGAAATCTGAATGTGTCGTCAAATTTTAGCAAAACTCTCCATCATCCGCAGATATGGACTGACACGTGCTTACAGGCAGACAAGGAGAAGCCTTTCAAAGATTCAGAGAGCCATTAGCGGGACGACACGAAATGAATGGCGGGAAGTGGGAACTTCTGACTGTCCCCTGCCTGTTCAAGGTCATAAGGATGAACTTTAACGCACTCACCGCCTGCTGCGTGACCACTGCCGATGACCTTGACCTCCGTGGAGTGATTCCCACATTTTCGCCTCTCATTATCGATTCCACCACTGCCAAACAAAAATAAACAAATAAGCAAGCAACAAACACGTATTATTGGGGCACATTCTTTGTATATTATCCATCGTCCATGTTTTTTTAAAAAAATATATAAAAAATTACGACGTTTCGGACATTGCGTCTGTGTCCGTCTTCAAAGCAAAGCCCAGGGACCTCCAGCAGTGCAGGAAGCAAGCGCCTCTGACACGTCGAGAAACGTCTACCAGAATGCACGGCGGAACATTAATTAAACAGAACTGACGTTTGTAATGGACCAGAAAGAGGATTACACACAGTGCTCATTGCGAGTCTCTGAACAACAGCAGAATTAACGAAGCTCGTCTAAGATTTAAGATTTAAGTCCGTACCGCAAAGAAAACACCGCACTTCACCATTACGAAATCAACTGGTTTAAGGACACTTAGAATCGTACGAAATGCATGAATAAGCTCTGCGGACATGATTACGAGTAAGTTACTGTTACGTCAGGTGGTACACGCAGTTACCACTGGGCCTCAAAGACGTATCCTGGATTGCCTGTGTGAAGTTAACAGTTTGCATGTCCCATCTAATTGACGCAGCCTCCAACCTTGTTTCTCGAAGCTTCTACCACTCGTCGGACCGGATTACTTGACTTGATGCTTTGTTCTCTGAACAAAATGGGTCATAATGAAGGCGGTGAGAAAATATCAGGTATTTTTGGAATGAGAATGGGCATGTATCGTACCGCCGTGCTAATTACGACGCTAACAGACAGGAGTAACGTCCATTTAGCAAGGAACACATAAAAAAGCCGCTCTTGAAAAGCTGACAGTCGATCAGGTGGTCAAAAATTGAAGCCCGGCCTGTCCTGAGGCAGATAAATCCAGTACACACCCACCGTCTACGTCTAGGTCTCTCAATCTGTCTCTTCCCTACCAATTAATAATTTGTATAAACGTAACAAGCTGCCTCTCCCGTGCGTGCTACATGCCCGACAATCTTATCGACAGAAAGACTCACGTTGTAAGAAATTATTTCACTATAATGTCTGACGGAATATGGCTTAAGTCGCCGTAAAGATTTTTCGACACAAAATTTACTTTCCAAAGAAATTGTACAAATGCTGTACTTTAAATGCGACTCGCAAAGACAACGCTGCATTAAAGTGCATTAGTGTTCATCACAAAGAGCTTAATCGCTGTCAACCTGACGCTACTCAAGTGTTTTACGTACCTCCATCGCCAATGAGTCGCATCTGGACGATACACGGGTCCTCGTTGTGTTCCTCGAGGACCGTGTCATCAGTGACGGTCAGGTCCTGCAACATAACAACACAAAAGACACTTAAATTCCCCAACCAAAAAGTAAAAAAAGTATATAAATACTCTCACTGTCCGTGTATTTATTGGTTTAATAGAATGTGGTACCATATTATTTAAACGTCAACTCTTTCCATGTTACAATATTGATTATAAACGAAGACTATGGAAGAAATTTGGTATTTTCGAGGATAAGACACTGTGTTAAGGAAAGCGTGACGTAGTGTTTGGCGCGTCTGCAAGGATTACGGAGGCTGAGAGGACCAAGCTCGACGGATGGAGCGTGAGTGAGGAAGCAATCCGATCCTAAAGATCCTATACTCGTCGGGGTCGCAATTCAATGCCGTTGAATTATCACTTGCAGTTTCCAGAGTTAGCTCGTAAGTCTTTCGTTACAGCTTACTACGTCAGCTAATTTTCTACCCTTCTTCCATTTTTTGAGTAATCATTCATTTACAAGATTGCTTACATAGACGGAAGTTTTGCTTCGGATGCACCAAATAATTTAATGTTAACTGGTGACTGCGCTTACGAGTATAACCTGTTAATTCCTGTTTCAAAATTAATGTAATTACGAGTCGCCTCGTGTTCTGGGCCGTACAATCAACCACTAATAGCCTTAATCGTTCATTAGCTGTAAGATTAACTCACTAATTGTAAACCCCTAACATTTAACATCGCTAACACAAAAGTCAGTCACTGAACCGTGTCCTGACTAGCGGCCAGCAACAAAACACAGACACTTCAATGCTACTGGTCCATCTGGTAAAAACTAATTGTCTCCGGCGCTTAATTAAGCATCACGCCATGTACACGCACTGGGAATCATAATTCTCGTGTTCACAAGAGCCACTCCTGAGCCACATGAATCCAATCCGATCCCGTATAAACTGAAGCTACTTCCATTACACAATTCGGTGGGTCGCCATGTTGGTATTAAATGAGATAGCGTACCAGTGGGTTGAAATGCAAGCCGACTTCTATGATAATTAGACAACTGGTTCTAAAAGATGTCAGAGACGCAATAAATTTAAATTACTTAAGTAGGGTAAAAGTTAAGTAACGTTTTTTTGGGACAATTCTGTTTGGACAGAAAAGGAATTCTACAAACATTAATCTCCCATAATTCTTTACCTGGCCGTCCACCTAAGAGAGACACGTAAAAAACCCTCTGGCTTCTTGGGGGCAAGTTTCCATTACAGAAACTTACTTACACCGCACAAGAATCTCTATTAAAACAAACTTTCGGACTTCAGACTTTTGTTGTTAAAACTTCCTTTAGCTCATTTTTTCGAGGAGGGGATATAGTAGAAGTGGGGCGGGGGGGGGTCTAACTTTGATACTTCTTTCCAGCAGACTGCCAACTTTCAGGAAGTAGATTCAATCTTTGGAGGGTTGAGGGGGTGAATGCGGCCAGTGGTTGCCGAATTGGTACGCAGGACTGACAGGAAATAAAGCCTAGGGTTCGTGATGACCGCCCTTTTTACAGCGCCGTCTGGCAGAAGGGGATGTCATACCAGGGTTTGGGCGACCGTGGTTCGACTCCTGGCAACGACAAGGGATTTTTATATTAGCTCTCGCGTCCAATGACCACAAGGGGTCCTTTCGCCGGGGGCAAAGCTAACCAACATGTCCATTGACTCAAGATTTTAATACGCATTTTTCGGAGCGTAGTTTCTGGCTGCTGGCTCACTGAGACTGGGTCTGAAACCTCGTTCGTCCTTGAGTTTCAGAGTTCGTCTGACCCGTTATTCAGAGTCAAACTAGGGCAAGTGATATGACGAAGAGACAGGAAGAAACATACTTTGAGTAACACCCGGTGAAGAACATTCCTTCAAAAGCGTGTTTCTTTCATTACGGCAATTTATTGTTAGAAAGTTAAATTATTACGATCTGAATCACTGGACCTTTAAAATGCACCTCATATACGTGATTACCTTCACCATCTGAAGCCCTTATCTCACACAAGTAATAGTTAAACATTTAGTCCGTACCGCAAAGAAAATTCCGACTGGTTAATGCTGTTTAATACAAATGACAACTTCGTTCTGAGTTTCGTGTGAAACCCATAAATACAGTAGCAAAATGCAACTTCGCTGATTTTTAAAACAAGTGGTACATATAATTAGCGCCACGTTTTAAAGGCTTAAAAAGTCTCAGATAGACGGGCGGGTAGGTGACAAGAAGGTACATGGATGAGACGGCAGAAGAAGCCGTGTTGTTACATAATTCCGTTCTACGTCTATTCATTTAATAGCAAAGAAACCAACGTTTAATTTCATTTTTTAAAGGCGATTCTGTATAATGAGGCAGTGATGAAATTGCAGTTTCTTTAAGACTGAAATGATTGGTTTTTCACTTGAACGAAAAAGGCGTATAACAGAACCTCTCACACGTTAATCGTGAAAGAGAGTGTAAGGCAGGCAGAATCTACGAGAACTGCGGTAACAGAAAAAGTGATAGTGGACACTAGGACTTGAAGGCACACGACAAGTGTTACAATAAATTCCGTCAAAGGCTGACGTGTTAAATCAGAAAGAAATTATAATTCGGATGCTTCAAATGCAATAGTTGGTCAGCCTGCATGTAGGTCCTCGTACACGGAAGTATTTGGAGTGTCACAGAATAAAATATACGACTCGTCTTTCTAACATCACAATACGAATTCCACAATGATTCATCAGTTACCATCGCATCCACATTATTTCTTAAACTCCTCCCCAAATTACTACACACAGTATTTTTCATTCGAGTGTCACGAATCGATTCCACGACTAAAAGGAATTAATAATCATTCCCACCACAGACGTTCGCATGCAGTTGAAAGTACCGAGTACCTAACGAGTGACTATGTATCGATTTTCATAATCGATACAAGCAAGCCATCGACCATCAATGTCTGACGAAATTCGATGAACAAAATTGCAATCAGGTGTATTTATTATAACCCGTCTAATTTACTACGCGTTTTTCTTCGTGAACGAAACACAGCGCAGAATTTTAACATCACGTAACTTTTTGTTTCGCCCTTCTTTCTACGCGCCACAGGGATGGGTTGAATTCACAGCCCACTGCCTCATGCATATTCACCAGGCCTCGTCGCCCCTTTATTGTACAACAGAAACCCCCACCCCCACCCCCCGCCATTTAAAGAGGCGAGACCTTAATTACACCAGTCTGAGAGAGTGAGAGAGATATGCAGCCCGCACAGCGATGCGTCTTCCTTTCATGCTCTTGAATAGTTTTGGCTCGTGGTGCCCCACCTTCCCCTTCGGAATAACAGCCCCGGGTGGGGGTGGGGGTGGGGTGGACTGGAAGTAATAAACAGTCGCCACCAGCCATGGATATCGGATTTTTAAACCATGCCCTCAACCCCAACAAAAAAGAAACAGCCCGTCTGTTAGTTTTAAAATTAAGCAGGCAAGAAGACCTCGGTTTAATTTTGGATCACGGCTGCTTCTGATACTAACACCTCCTCAACTCCGGTCCATGTGTAGGGGGAGGGGGAGGGGTCGCGTCAATATCCCCCCCCCCAAAAAAAAACGTAGTTAAAAGAAAGTAAAAGTTTGAAGAGATAATGACAAACATTTTTTTCAGGAGCACATGTGGTCTGCGAACTTCGGTTTATCTCGATTCGAGAATTAACTCCTGAGCAGAAAGTAGGGGAAGAAACAGCTGATCAAGACATTCCTCGTCCGTGAGGAATCGGAACTTAAGAACGCGAATGTTGTTGCCACCTATGGCGCTGCAGTCGCGGGTTCAGAGAGTTCCCGAGTGAGAGAATTTGGGACGATTTAATCCGTCTACAGGCTGTGTGTGAAAACATTCGCTGCAGCAGAATTAATTCTTATCAGACACGCCTCGCTTTTCAGAATTTCTGTGAAATGTAACAGATCTTCTCCACTGAACACTTCAACAACAGACGTCTGCAAATTTACTTGAAGCTTTAACACGTGTCTAGCAACCATAGAAACAATTGTCTCAGATTCAGATATTCAGAAGGCACTTAACTAACTAACTAACCAACCAACCAACTATTTAACTAGATGGCTTAGGGAACCCGAATGTTCATCACCGAATTAATTAATTTAATGGAAAACCAGTCAGCGCAGTCCAATTAATATCTTTACAACCTACTTCTGTGATACTTTTTAATATTATCAGCTAATTTACGGATTATACACAAATTTTACGAAAAATCGTCGTAGTTCGAACTAATGACTGCAATCTCAGTAAACCTAATCGCCAAAGAGAGAATATTTACGTTACGAACATCGGGGTTTGATACACATTAAATTCTAATAAAATAAACGCAATCCTCCAAAAAAAAAGTTAAATAAAAACCAGGAGCACTGGAAACAGAAGCGAAACGTGTGTTCGACACGCGCATTACAGGGCACTATTATAACGCAGGCTGTGGATGGTTCTGAACGGTCGGTGGAGTAAAGCACTTGGGCTAATTTGCGCGAGACGTTCCGATTGCATGCCAAGAACAGAACTCTGAACTCGGCGGCAAGCGAAACGTCCTATCAGCACCGGGAAACAGATATTATCACAAATCAAAAATACTGGCCCCGAAACACATCAATACATTACGAAATCGGCTATTTTAAACAAATATTTAAAGTTCTAAAGCACGAATTGACTTAATCAACTCGATGCGTCAGTCACTTACTTGAAGCAGATACCAAACGGGCTCTTGTGGTCACGATAATTAGCCTTCGGGTTCCATAAAAGCTTGGTAATGTGTTGACTAGATAAGAGATTATCAGCTTCTCAAGGCGTACTCTGCTCCATCGAGTGTCTCACTTCAAAATGTACACAAGACGTGAGCAGGTTGCAAAATGTGGTTTGTTCTAACCAACGAACAAGACCTCAGAACCACGGGAAAAAATCTCCCACAAAATTGTCTCGCGATTACAGCCAGACCGGATTACTTAACGTAACCTCGCAATGAGAAACGAGAGATAATTACATAACGAGGAACTCTGTGATGTATACAATCAAATTTGATCTCCCCGACCAAGCTATTTATTTCGCAAAACAACGCAGAAATTTCACTAAGCATTTCAATTTCCCCGTGTTTTATTCAGCACATTAAGAACAATCGCGGAATTAAAAAAACCCTTCGGTTGATTCAGCGTCTTTAAACAAGCCACAAACTCTCGGCGCTGTGACAAATGTTTCAGTTTACGTGACGGACATCATACTATATAAAAAAAGCATCGCGATGTTGATTGAATGATGGCCCACTAATTGGGGGGAGGGGACACAGAGGTTCAAGGTCACTGTCTGTGTTACGACGTGAATCACTGTGGAACGTGGCCAACACGTGTTCCTGCACCTCTGTCGCTCTCCGGTGGATGCTGGCAGACTCATCTGACCTGCTAGCTCCGTAGGCAGCAGGAACCTGGACCGGATGCAGGGATTTATGTCTCGACCACTCGGCCCTAAACTGCGACGAGGTTCATGGCGCCTCGCCACGTCGCATTCTGAACGAAACAGCTGTAATATCACCGTCATTTATAGCATCACAGTTGCCCCAAACCACATTCTTCTGTGAGCCAGTTGAATCCAGTCGACTCTCTCACATAATACTTCCATAAGATTCGTTTTAATATTATTATTATCCAATCTTGCATCTAACAAGTAGTCTCAAAATCACTTACGATATTTAATTAGGCGCGCAAATCCTAAAGTTGGATCCAAATATTATACCCAGAATTTTGTTTTTATTCTGTGCGCTGTGATACATTCCGGGAAAGATTCCAGACAATGTTTTAATCATATCACGTACGCGTTCCAGACGCTCGTCATTGTGCGATTTTACACACGAAAGCTCTCATACGCGCTGCAAAGCTGGGAACACGAAACCCCTTCGACATGTCATAAATGAGAATTTGCGAGCGGAACGGGTCCTACTCGAAACCCCAAACAACGAAGCGACCTGGAAACACAATCCTCAAACAACATAACCAAACCTAACAATTACCTTAGGTCACTGTTTCACTAACGACGAAAAG